ACTCGACTGGCTCACCCCGTCTCTCTCCCACTTACGTATCTGCGACCGCATCTCCAACGGGCTCCCCCGCCCTCCCCCACTTGTTGCAGGTCGGAGGCGAGCGACGGTTCGCCGACTGGCAAAGAGGCAACCACAGCCTTCACGATCAGCGGGGGCGGTAGCGGGGGCGGCACGGACACGACCACGTACCTGAGCCCGGCCAACGCCGTCAACCCCCAGCAGCCGAACAGCCTGGACAAGAACTCGGCCAACAACGGCTCGGTGGGCGGTCACCGCGACGGCGGCAGCCGGGCGCCCAGCCCGGAGCCCGGCGGCAAGGTGAACCCCGCCACGGCTGCAGCCGCCAAGAAGGAGAAGAAGGAGACCCTCGAGGCCAAGAGGGAGCGCAAGGCGGCCAAGACGCTGGCCATCATTACGGGTGCATTTGTCGTCTGCTGGCTACCCTTCTTCATCATGGCGCTGGTCATGCCGTTGTGCGAGTCCTGCGTCATCAACGATCATGTGTCGAGCCTGTTCCTTTGGCTCGGCTACTTCAACTCGACGCTCAACCCGGTCATCTACACCGTGTTCAGCCCCGAGTTCCGTCAGGCCTTTAAGCGCATCCTGTACGGCGGCCGCCACCCCCGCAACGGCCGCGGCCAGGGCAGGGCGCGGGACTTCCGGACGGGCCGGCCCAGGTAGGGCCGGTGTTGTCACAGACCGCGCTGCTGCCTGTGCTGCTGCTGCAGCGGCTGTCTGTGACCCAGTCGGACCGCCGCCAGCCCCCTGCTGCAGGCTGCGGGGGCGGCGGGGGCGTGGTTGCTGCCCCCGCCGCGCCCCCGCCACGGCCGCAGCGCCGTGCCGCCCTCACCCACGCCGGCCAGCGGGGCCGGCGGCGGTCCCCCACCCACTCTGCCGACGCCCCGCGCGCCCCGCCTGGCAGGCCGCCTCCCCCCGGCTAGCCCCGGCCCAGCGCAACCCCGCCGCGCCGGAACGCACCTGTGCCTGCGCGGGGACAGCGCCCTGTCTGGCGGCTCAGCAGTGTGACAAGGATTTCGGCCCCCGTGCGTTCTTTTCGCCGGAGGCGTGCTTTTAATTTGCAATAAAGTTACCTACATTTTCCTAGATGGATATCCACGTTTATCGGAATTGTTGTCGTTATGTTCTAATTTTGTGATGTAAAAATTTATTTTTGAAGAGAATATATGGTTGTTTTAAATAAATATATCAGGTGGACTTTTTTGGTGTGAATGGTTTGAGAAGGTAAAGTGTGTTTGGTGCTTTATATTATTATGTTGGCTCTAAATATTATTTTTATGCCATACGCATACAGGGTAAGTATGGACGTCCTACGCTTCCTTAACTGAATATAGCTCTAAGTCGTTTGTAAGAAAGCCATGCAGAAAACAGACGATGCATGAGACATTTAAATAACAGCCTATATTTGATAATTGCTAAACCGTTTCTATCCATGACAATAAATAGATGGTATTTATAAAAGTACGGCCTGCGAACACAATATCGGCTTCCATTGAGTACTTATATTTGAAATAGTCGTTTCAGTACACTCTGTACTCTCTCTAGTTCTCCATCTTGATGTCACTGCTTTCAAATCCATTACCTTGTGGTTTCTTAAGTTGTTCTACTGAATGATAATTGATACAGTAGCTAATGTCTGTTTATGGTCTGTTTTCTGTAACTTTGAGTAAGACCTGTAGCTGTAAATAGTCCCTTGGTTGATTTTAAAATGATTTTGTACAAAGGTTTTCCTATGGATTGTTAACCTGTCATGCAAATAATGCATTTCAAGCTAACAGTGTATCCATACCACACTACTGTGTCTTTCCAAACAAACTAAATTACAGGTAGACTATTCAAAATCTGTAATTACTAGGCTAAACTAAAAGTGATTGTAGAATAAACATACATTTGTAGCAAAGTGTGTACAAAAATGATGTTAATAGAAAATCCTCGTTATTAATTACGTACTAAGGAATTATAGGGACAGAAAATGCATTATCTGTATGTGCATATCTGGTCAATGATCGTTTTTATTTACTGTACAGAATGTAGGTAAAATGCTTGTATATAAAAATATTGATAATTTAAACAATATGATGTGAGGGAACACAAGCATCTACAAAGAAAAAGAATGTTCCACGACTGTGTAAGCTTCAGTTATTTTGAAAATTGTGATGTGGAATATGATTTCCACTGTCAAATCAAGTATCTTTCCTTATTCTGATTTGTGAAGTGAGTATGAATATATATACTCCATAAGGCTATCGTTTCTACCCACTTGTTCATATCTCTAAAACATTCAGTGAGAACCGCATTAAAAGTCGATGTCTTCTTAACCAACGCGATGCACCATGTTTAATTGGCTTTTAAACGTTAATTGATTTGTCTGGATGAGCTATTTATATTCACAAAAATTTAATACGGTATGGTTAAAAAAGAACCAGACTTATCGAAGACTGGTGGTTGCAAATAGTGGTTGTCATAGATATCGCATTGAAAAGGAATGTGGAATGACTGATATAACAATGTTGTAGATTCTAGCACAGGCTTTTGCAGGACTAACACTACTTAAACGTTATCAGTCCGTAAGTTTAAAACTACTTAATGAAAGTAAAATCACCATTTACTAAGATTGTTATTTATAGCAATTAAATGACCACCATGCAATAAACGCTCAATGAAACCCGAATGTGCTACTAAAAAAAACCTGTATACAGCTTTGCTTTATTTTTTACTGTTATTATTGATACAGCTGTAAAATGCGACTTTAACCAAACTGAAAAAGATTAATAAACAAGTTGGAACCTAACTTTGAGACCACCATTCTTAACCTGCGGGATAGGATGGACAAGCTGCACATCCAGAATCGACCAGAATGCATCCAGCTTGCGGAGGCATCTACAATCTCGATCTCAATGTTCCCCAAACGCGTCCCTATACGTCCGAATCTCGTACAGACAGATTGCGACAGGGGCGTGCCGTCGTTTGGCCAAGAACTCTTCTGGTGTTCAACCAACTCAAACAGTACGTCCGGCACCCGGGGCCGAATCTCATAACGGTAAAAAACTATTCTTGCATTTCACGGGGGCCACCACTTCGGATTAAGATGTACACAGGATTACGTGATTACAGGAATTACACGTAAATGTTTAGGGATTACACATGAGGTTTACTGAATTTCTGGGCCTTGCCCTCGATATTTCCATACCCGGTTTTGGATCTTACGGGAGAACGCCAAAGTCATCGACATTGTGTCTTGTCTTAAAATACAAGAATCTTTTTTTCATCGTGATTTAGATAAGCCAAGTTCATCACTGTGAAAAATTGTCGTACCGGGTACAGGAAAATTTTCCATGGAAGAAGTCGTACAAGTACAATCTAAAATTGTACAATTTACTCGCCCTATGTATCGACTTAGAATCGAATATCGAGCGACAGCGGGAGGTTGTACATGTACGACTCGTATTGTAAGTGGCAAATTACAAAATATATCGTGCATGTACAAATATATTTCTCACAGTGATGCACACGGCATGCGGGATGCGGGACCCACTGCCACGGGCCTCTCACCAGTAGTGTACCCCACTTCCACACAAAATATGTGCACGGCTCGTAACCAAACCTTGTCCAAAGGTATCTAAACCTTAACCGAACGCATTTGAACGCGCGGGCGCCCGCGGACATATCCATATGAAACTGGAGTGAGGACGAGGGCAGGACGGTCACCAGGTTCACCGGCCGAATTGGGATAGGATATGAGCTTCAGCCTATGCCCGACAGACGCGGGCGGAAAAAAATTAGGCGTCTGCCAGAAACACGTTCTTTAGAGCCTCGCTCCTTGAATTGAGCTGCTGTCAATCCTCACCGTTTGAAAAAAAAAAAAAACAAGACAGAAAACAGGTTTGTACTAAAATATTCTTTTATTTCGGGTTACATTCTTACATAAAGCATGTAACACATCTCCTGCAGTAGTGGAAGCGATCGTATTTACTATCTTTGCAGAGGAAGTACTTGATTTTGAATTTTTTTAGCGTTGCGTTTCTGAAAATGGCCGTGAGTGCCATGTCTCTGCAAACCTGTCAGTGCGACATTTGCAGTGGCGGAAGAGAAGTTAAACTTTTTGACTATTAGATTTATAGAGGGTTCTTCTGATGTCCTCAAATGTCCCTTTTTGTTGGTCCTAAATAGTAATCCTCAGAATTTGTTTTCAATTGTGTCTAGTTTCCTTGGGAAGTAGCAGCACTCACCACATCGTATTTTTTTATTTTACGGTAGTTAATACGAGTACGAGCATGAGGTTGGAGCATCGAGCGATTGTCAATTTGATTTGGCTATTTTTTAAATATTATCTACAGTTTTCATATTGGTAGGGCATTTGATGTACTTAATAAAATGTTTACCGAAGCAAATGTGTATCTGTTTCATGCCGCTACATGAGATTAGCACTTCTTTCTACTTATGTAAGATAACAAGGGTTGTGGATCTAGCATAAATGGCCGAATTGTAATGAATAATATAATAACTAAAGAGTTACGGAGTGGTGGGAGTGAAAATGTAACGTCTTGCAGTTCTTTAATTTTGAGAGAAATCAAACATCAATAAAATTACTGACGTTGTACCCTACAGTTTTGCGCTGGCTACATAGTATTGCTTAACCGACACTTAAATATATCACAGAGAGCGCACGAGTTTTAATAATTTTTTTTTTCGAGCGTGAACAAAATGAGCGGATATAAGACACAATGCTTGTACCGACGAGTAGGAGCACAAATAACGAAAATAGTAACTGTATCTATGGTGATTGAAGCGCACATATTAATAGATGCACTTTGTCGAAAGCGCACCGTCTAATATAACTATATTTACACAAAATAGCACCTGATTTAATTTGAATTTCGGCTGTAACCATAGCTGAGCTGTAAAACTATACTTAACATTTGTCGCTTCTGAGACACAAATATAGGCGTTTTAATTTGATCTCGGCTTATAATTTAATAAGCTTTTGGCGTTACACCAAAGTAGTGCGACTAACATGTTTCGGATCATAAAATTTTGATTCTCTCCCACTTGGGTGTTCAAACCAAGCTGGGGAGTAATGATAGCCAGTACCTTTCTTAACAACTCGTCAGTTTTGAGCCATCTGAAGCTACACACGGAAGAGCATGGGCGCGTGATTTTAATCCTAAATACTGACATGTTGAAGGTATAAGCATAATATCCTCACCAACGAAACAGTTGTCTGCAGCGACACACCCACCCAGCGTGACGTGAGCGTTTCAAGAACCCAAAGAATGTCGCTTCTTGAGGCACCCAGAATTGGACCCCTCATCTTAAAAAAAACCACCGTTGATCCGGATGGGCTGATCCAAAGAAGTTCCGGTCGCTCTACGGTCGCTGCTGTTAAAGTCTTGTGCGCGTCCCAAGCTCTATAAAACTAACCAGAGTATTCACAGCCGCTTTACACCAGCTCGCCCAGCGGGTGTCGATTTGTTCGCGTCACAGGCCCTGGTGGCAGCCATAGCAACTGCAGCAGAACCTGCGACAGCACCGCCCCTACCGGCGACTGCTGGTCCTGAAGTCTCTCGTCCGTCCGCGGCCGTTGCGAGGGTGCCGGCCGCCGTACAGGATCCGCTTGAAGGCTTGCCGGAACTCGGGGCTGAACACGGTGTAGATGACTGGGTTGAGCGTCGAGTTGAAGTAGCCCAGCCAGAGAAAGAAGCTGGCTAGGTGGGGGTTGATCTCACATGAGGCGCAGAGTGGCATGAGCAGTGCCATGATAAAGAAGGGCAGCCAGCAGACGACGAACGCGCCCGTGATGATGGCAAGCGTCTTGGCCGCCTTGCGCTCCCGCTTGGCCTCGAGCGTCTCGCGCTTTTCTTTGCGCGACACGATCGGGTTCTGCTTGATCATCTCGACGGCCTTCTTTACCGTCATTTCGTTGCGGGACTCCGAGACGGGTGGCTCCGTGGCGCTGGACGGCAACGTGAGCACCGCCCCGGCGGCCACGACGGACAGGCACGTGTCGCCGGGGAGGGTCCCTGGCACGGGGTCGTAAGAAGTGTACACGTCCTCGGAGTCCTGCTTGACGAGGGTGGTGACCTGCAGGTAGGAAGGTAAGTTGTCAGTACCACAAACTCAAAGTTTATATCGAGGGAGCAGGAGCGCGGGATTCCTCTCACCTTGGCTGTGGAAGACTCCGTGTCGTCCAACACGGTCGAGGTGGACTGGCCTTCGGGCTGGCAGCCCCGCACCGACGAGTTCTTGCTGTGGTTCCCAGTCTCTACCGAAGAGTACCTCCGCATGCGAAGAAAGCGTCGCTTGCAGACGACGTTAGCAACACCCGTGGTGGGCAGGATAGCCGTGGCTGCAATATGGACTAAATTTCAATAATCACAGCGTCTC